GCCACATATACTTACCATCTTTCTGGGAGATCAAATAAACATTAACTTCCCTACTTCAAAAGGGTCTGATAGAGTTGGAGCTAAGATGGTGGAGTTAAGGCAGGGATTCACCTAAGCTCTCCCCCAAACCCATCCAAATATCTTTAAATAATGACTTTAAATAAATTCTAGAGTGGCAGAACCCACAAAAAGACAGAGTGAAAAAATTTTCCAGCTCAAGACAACTTAGCAGGTCAGCAGGAAATGTCTGTTGCACCAAGGTGAGAAAGGAGTTGCAGTCCAACACAAGCTGTGCTAGCCCAGACTGGGCCCCAGCAAACCAAGAGCAGGCTTCAGGGTAAGTGAATCACCAGCTGCAGTGGCTACTTCTGGAGGTCTCAGCCCACAGATGGTAAAGGGATCAAACAACAGCTGGTCAGAAGGAGATTACAGGGATCTCTTTGCTAGCACTGGGGGCAGGGCTCTATTGCTCTGCCCATACTCTGATCCAGGTTGCAGTCCTGGGTGGCAGTCCCAGGACAAGGAGGAGCACTAGCGCAGCACAGCTTGTGGCTACAGTGAAGTGAGGATCCTCCTCACAGCTCAAAGGGCAGAAAAGAGTGCTTGAGGTCACTCACAGACCCGAGCACAAGCCAGGAGAGGAGTAAACACCTCATCTTAGACCACACACCACTTTGGAAGAACTGAAACTTACAGGTCCCTAGAAGTATCTCTGAGAACAGCTGGATAAAACCCTGAAGCTTGGAACAGCGCACCCTCCATTGTAGAAGCAGAACCTTCCTTTAAGAAACAGTTACAAGTCAAGTAATAGGCTGGGAAAATGAGCAAACAACAGAAAAAAATTCTGACCATAAAAAAGTTACTATGGTGACAAGGAAGATCAAAAGACACATTCAGAAGCAGATAACAAAATCAAAGCTTCTACATCCAAAGCTTCCAAGAAAAATATGAATTGGTCTCTGGCCATGAAAGAGCCCAAAAAGGACTTTGAAAATCAAGTAAGGGAGGTAGAGGAAAAATTGGGAAGAGAAATGAGAGTGATGCAAGAAAATCATGAAAAAAAAAACATCAACAGCTTGGCAAAGGAGATGCAAAAAAATACTGAAGAAAACAACACCTTAAAACGGACTAGGTCAAATGGTAAGAGGTACAAAAAGCCAATGAGGAGAAGAATGCTTTAACAAACAGAACTGGACAAATGGAAAAAGAGGCACAACAATTTATTGAAGAAAAAACTCCTTAAAAAGTAGAATTGGCCAAACGGAAAAGGAGGTACAAAAGCTTATTGAAGAAAATAATCCTTTAAAAATTAGAATTGAGCAAGTGGAAGCTAATGACTGTGAAAAATCAAGAAACAATAAAACAAAAACAAAAGAATGAAAAAATAGAAGACAATTTTGAAATATATTATTGGAAAATAACTGACCTGGAAAACAGATCCAGGAGAGATAATTTAAAAATTATTGCACTACCTGAAAGCCATGACCAAAAAAAGAGCCTAGATATCACTTTTCAAGAAATTATCAAGGAAAACTGCCTGGACATTCTAGAACCAGAGGGTAAAACAGAAATGGAAAGAATCCACTGGTCACCTCTTGAAAGAGATCCCAAAATGAAAACTCCCAGCAATATTATCGCCAAATACCAGAGCTTCCAGGTCAAGGAAAGAATATTGTAAGCAGCCAGAAAGAAACAATTCAAGTATGATGGAGCCATAGTAAGGATAACACAAGATTTAGCAGCTTCTACATTAAAGGACTGGAGGGCTTGGGATATGATATTCCAGAGGGCAAAAGAGCTATGATTACAACCAAGAATCACCTACCCAGCAAAATTGAGTATAACCCTTCAGAGGGAAAAATAGATAATTCAATGAAATAGAAGACTTTCAAGCATTTTTGATGAAAAGACCACAGTTGAAGAATTAAAAAGGTAAACAGGAAAGGGAAATTATAAGTGAGTTCATAAGGTGAAACTGTTTACATTCCTACATGGGAAGATGATACTTGTAACTCATAAGAACTTTCTCATTAGGGTGGATAGAAGGAGTATATATAGTCAGAGGGCACAGGTGTGAGTTCACTATGAAGGGATGGTATCTAAAAAAATAAAATTAAGGGGTAAGAGAGGAATGTACTGGGAGAAAGGGAAAGGGAGAGATAGAATAGGGTAAATTATCTCACATAAAAGAAGCAAGAAAAAGCTTTTACAGTGAATGGGAAGTAGGGAGGTGACAGGGAGTGAGTGAATCTTATTTTTATCATAATTGGCTCAGAGAGGGAATAACATACACACTCAACTAAGGTATAGAAATCTATCTTACCCTACAGGAAAAAAGGAGGGGAAGGGGATGGGGGTGGTAGTGATTGAAGGGAGGGCAGTCTTGGGGAGAGGGTAGTCAGAAGCAAAACACTTTTGAGGATGTATAGGATAAAAGGAGAGAGAAAATAGAGTAAATGGGGAGGGGGTAGAAATAGGATGGAGGGAAATACAGTTAGCAACAGCAACCATGCAAAAAATTTTTGAAGCAAGTTTCTCTGATAAAGGCCTCAGTTCTCAAATATGTAGAGAACTGAGTCAAATTTATAAAAATAAGAGCCATTCCCTAATTGATAAATGATCAAAAGATATGAACAGTTTTCAGATGAAGTAATCAAAGCTATCTATACCCACGTAATTTACTGTTCTAGTTTACTGTTGATTGGAGAAATGCAAATTAAAACAATTCTGAGGTACTACCTCATATCTATTAGATTAGCTAATAGGACAGAAAAGGAAAATGACAAATAGTGGAGGGGATGTGGGAAAAACGAGACATTAATGTGAACTGATCCAACCCTTCTGTAGAGCAATTTGGAACTATGCCCAAAGGACTATAAAACCATGCATACCCTTTGACCAAACAATGCCACTACTAGGTCTGTATCCCAGAAAAGATAACAAACAAAAAGGAAAGGACCTATATGTACAAAAATATTTATAGCAGCTCTCTTCTGTTGGCAAAGAATTGGAAATTGAGGGATGCCTATCAATTGGGGAATGGCTGAACAAACTATAGTATGTGATTGTGAAGGAATACTGATATGCTATAAGAAATGATGAGCAGGGGGCAGCTAGGTGGAGCTGCCACATAACATTCACTAGCTGTGTGACACTGGGCACGTCACTTAACCCCAATTGCCCTCACTCCCCGCCCCAAAAAAATGATAAGCAGGATGTTCTCAGAAAAACCTGGACTTATATGAGCTAATGAAAAGTGAAATGTACTGTGTACAAAGTAACAGCAATATTGTAAGATGATCAGCTGTGAATCTGCAGCAATACAATGATCCAAGACAACTCTGAAGGGTTTATGATAAAAACTGTTATCCATCCCCAGAGAACTGATGGTGTCTGCATACAGATTGAAGCATACTTTTTTTTTACTTTCTTTTTCTTGAGGTCTTTTCTTTTGCCTATGTTTTCTTTCACAACATTACTATTATGGAAATATTTTGCATGACTACACATGGATAACCCTACATAAATTTGCTTGTCTTCTCAATGAGGTGGGGTGAGGAGGCAAGGAGGGATAGAATTTGGAACTCAAAAGTTTTAAGAACAAATGTTAAAAACTGTTTTTGCATGTAACTGGGGAAAACTACTATTATACTAAATAAGCTAAATAAATAAGCTTTCCATTTAGCTGCCAAAAAAAGAAAAAAAGAAGAGTCTGACAATGTATTGTCCTGTGGCTCTACTCAGAATTCTTGCTTCTTTATAGGCTGCCTGGGCCAAAATTCTGCCTCCTGCTTCCTGTTCCCTTATATTTATCCATAGTGAGCTCCATACCTCAGGCTACCCTCCCATTCTTCCCCATATTTCTATTGTGCCCTTTGTGACTCCTGTTCTAACGTGTATTTAATTCTATGTATACATGTTGTTCTCCCCAATAGAACACAAGCTTCTTGAACACAAGGGTGGTTTTACTTCATCTCTGTACCCCCAACACCCAGCATAGATTCTTAATGATCATTGAATTATATTGAACTATCCTGAAACACAATCTTTCAAGTGGCTTCCAACTGAAAATATATTTTCACTTTCATAGGACCAAAGCTCTAGAGTTGGAAGAAACCTCAGAGAATATTTGTGGCAAGTCCTTCATTTTACCAATAAGGAAACTGAGGCCCAGGGAAGTGAGTTGTCCAAGGTCACATAGGCAGTTATCAGAACAGTATTTGAATCCAGGTCCTGACTCCATAGTCAGTGTGGCATCTCTCCCACGTTGTTTCCCTTGGGTTCTTTCTTGAAATTCATCTCATTTCCCCACACAAGGACATTTCTAGTGTTTCCTACTAGAGGCAGAATGAAAAGATCATTTCTCTTACTGCACTTTGGCAAGCCTACCTGTAAACTTTCTGACAGCAAAGTAGTATGTCATCACTGGCCCAATTCACGAGGTTCTGCCACAGTTGGTGAAGATAAAGTAGAGACAGAATATTAGCATTGGAAGGGATCTTAGAGATAACCCAATTCAGCTTCTTCATTTTGCAGGAAAGGAAAATGAGCAAACTCTTAAAGAGGCCAGTCTGATAGAGGTATCACTAGGATTCAAACCTAGACCAGAGGAGTACCTTTCAGTTGACTTCTCTGAAGAGCCTCAGTCTCCTTTCTAAAATGAGGACAATACCTGAATTAGCAGCCCCCTGATTTTGTTGTGAGGAGCTGACATGTGTTGAACTATTCTGGAAGGAATACTAAACAAATATAAGGAGTCTGATATCCTCCACAGATTCCAACACAGTGTCAGGTACTTTGTAGGGATGGGATTAGCATAGTTGTAAAATGGCTGAATTCAGAGTCAACAATGTGTTATGAGCTTGACCAAAAAAAAGCAGTTAATGGTCATTTTCTCATTTTGCCTAATAGTGTTTTTCTGACTCTCCCCAGTTCATACAGTCAGTTTAAATACAGCCTTTAAATACCCATTCTTCTACAGATAAGACTCACACACCTTCTTCTGTTCTCAGAGAAATTTATTGACAGTTGTGAAGGGCAGCCTTGGATAACAAGAAATAGGAAACCATGCTTCGTCCATTTCCCCTGCAGGCATCTACAGAGCTGAGGCAGGATCACTGGGTCCTGGAACCTGGAACATCTGTGGTTCTCTCGCTTCTATCCTCCTGTTCTGGGTAGTCCATCGTCATGGCTGAGTGGTAGAAGCTGCCAACTTCATCATCATCATCATCATCATCATCATCACCATCATCACCATCATTGCTTCTTTGATTCTATGGGATGGGCTTTTCCTACAGGGTCCACCAATATGACCAACCCCCAGCACGCAATGCCTGAGGACAACAACAACAGCAATTCATATTTCTTGAGCACTTTGAGAGCACATTTCTCAACAACTCTGTGAGAAAGATAGGTAGGCAGGTAGGGTGAAGTCTTATAATCCCCATTTAAGGATGAGACAACTGAGGCTAAGAAAGGGTGAAGTGATTTATCTAAGCTCAAAAAACCTGGTTAATGGCAGAGACCAGACTCCAACAAAGGCCTTCTAAGACCAGCACCTTAACTACATCAAATTTCACATTCTAGGAGACTCTGAGTTCAGCTACTTTTACATTCAATCATTCAACAAAAAAAAATTATTAATTACCTGTTCTTTGTAGAGCTAATTATCCCTCTCCCCCTTCCTCTCCTTAATTCTACTGTGCCCCCTGTTGGTTATTTCAAATTCTTCTGGTACTGCATATAGGTTGTTTGTACATGGTTGTTCTGACTGTAAGCTCCTTTAGGGCAGGGACTATCATTTGCTTATTTTTTTTTTAAATCAACATGTAGCACAGTACCTGGCACACAGTAAGAGCTTAATAAATATTTACTGACTGATTGGCTGACTTTCCTTCTGCTTAGAGAGTTGTTGTAAGGATCAAATAAGATGGTATCTGTAAAATACTTAGCATGATGCCTGGCACATAGGAGGTGCTCAATAAGTGCTGGTTCCCTTCTCTTCCCCTTTGGAGGTTCAAGAGGTTCACTGACTCACTTTTTGATTCTATAATCTGAAAGGTGTAGTGGAATAAACATGGTGAGAGGCCTGGATTTGGAGCCAGAAAATAATGGTTCAAATGAAGCTTCCCTTGCTTACTTCCTATGTGACTTTGGACATGTTACTCCCTGGGTCTGCAATCTCCTTCCTGGGGTACTCCAGAGGTGTTGAACTCCTAGCCCCAAGAGGCCTGCCAAACTCCTGAGTGGGCCAGAGCCAGATTCAAATGTAACTGGGAAATGTGTAACAAAATAAACAAAAATACAACACAGGTCACGTTAATTTGTGGTTTTCAAAGTCAACATGAACAGCCAGTTTGACACCAATGGACTAAACGAACTTTACAATTCTAAACCTTGATCTGTGACATGAAGCCTGGGAGATCCGGCTTTAACAAGACTTCCCAGTTGGATGGCCTCGGACAAGTCACTTCTGCCTCAGTTTCTTCACTTGTAAAATGGGGTGGGAATTCTTGCCCCAGCTCCCTGACCTGGCTGCTATGAGGCAAGGTGCTTTGTAAACCTCACCACACGACTGAAATGGGAGCTATTATTATTGTTGTTATTATTGCGGTGTATGTGGGATCTCTTTACCCCCCTCCTCACCCCCACCCCTACCCCTACCCCTACCCTGGGGTGAGCTTTCACGACCTCCAGAAGCCAGCAAACCCCTCTCCCACCCTCCTGAGCACTGAGCACGTGACTCCTCTACCCAGCTCGTGCAGCGCACCCCCTCCCCCCATCACCTGCCCCTCCCGGCCACCGTCCCCGCCTCGCGCTCACTGATGCCAACGACCATCTGGAAAATGGTACCCGGGGTGGGGGCACAGCCAAGCTTCAGAGGCCGCCGCGCTGTCCAGTACACGTAGCCGCCCGCCCCCAGAAGCCCCACTCCCGATAAGAGCCGGCAGCTCAGGCAGCCCCCCATTAACGGGTTCTTGCCGGGGCTGCGGCTGGGGCCGGGGCCGGGGCCGGGGCTAGCGATGCGGGGGGCGACGAAGACGGGCTGGCAGCCATTACTAGGCGGTGGGGGCAGAGACAACGACCCTAGCAGCGGCGGTTACTACGCGGAACCCACGACGCGACGACTCCGGAAGCCGAGCTGCGATGGGAGATGCACAGGAAGTGGGCGCAGTGGCTCAATGGGAAATCTAGTTTGTCCTCGCTGCGCCGGCGCTCTATTGAAGGAGACCGGACAGGAAATGCGGCTGGAAGGGGCGGTACCTTCCTCTTGTGTTTAAAATTCATCAACCGCGCCTGTTTTGCTTTTTGTCCTATCTATCAAAGCTAGTCTTTCTCACTCCGCCACTAACCATGGAAAAAGGGAACCAAACGCTCAGTTTATGGTTCCACAGAAAGACAGATAGAGGGAAACCATTCCTTCCTTTTGTCAAAGAGTAAACTCTAAAAAAGAAGATGGCTTTTTCAAGGTCACATCTAAGAGGTGACATTGTTTCAGGATTAAAACTCCAAACCCTTAATTTCTTGTCCTTTGTATCATGGCTCCACTGCCTCGTATTTCCTTTCTCTTATGCATGTTTCTTATTACTATCCTTTCTCTGATCCCTATCTCTTATTCTTCATGTAAAATGAAACGGAGCAGGGAATTGTTATTTAGATAATCCTCCCACTTTTGCTAAACATACTAGGCTAAATATGGTGACCAAGTTTTTTATATTTAAACTTCTAAAAATTTAGCACAAATTATCAAGATAAGTGCCTCTGTTTTCAATTTAGCTTCTTTGCTATTGAAAGCTAGCCTATAGGCTGTTCCTCGTGTCTGTGATAAGAGCCAGTGTGGTAAATTGCAAAGAATACTGGGTTCACTCCACACGGCATCCAGCCTGGTTTCAGCCCCAAGGAGAACAAGATGCCCTTCTCTGCTTAAGTTCATCACTTCTAATCTCATCACTGGCCAGCTAACTCAACAGTTGACTGACCCCATTCCCCTCAGCCTCCTCTTCCCTCTAATTGGAAGGCTGGAAGACAGGGTACCAAATTCCTCCCAATGCCTTCCTTTATGGCGGGCAGAAACCGAACTTTGGCCAACTCCACTCAATGTCTGCAGCTCTTCCTGGTTTCAGCTCCGCAGAGCAAGGCCAGGTACCCACTGGTCTCTGTCCTCCCTACCTTTCCTGCTTCCTTTTGTGTATTGTCTCTCCCATTATAGTGTAAGTTCCTTTAGGGCAGAGATTGGCATTCTTTTTATTAATTGTATCCCCAGCTCTTTACACAGTGGCAGGCACACAGTAGGCACTTAATAAATGTTCAGTGGTACAGTAAGAAAATTAGATTTCAAGTCAGAGGACATCTCGTTGGAATCAAAGCTCTCCCAGTTACTACTTATCTGGCCTTGGGCAAATCATTTCTCCTTCCTGGGCTTTGGTTTCCTCATCTGTAAAAGGAGATTGGACTAGATGATCTCCAAGGTCCTAGTTTTAAGTCTGTGATCCTATGGCCCAGCTTCTAGTTCTGTGCTGGATGATGGAGATATAAAATGGAATTAAGCAAGATTCTTCCCCTCTCTTCAAGTTTACAGATTAGTGTAAGGATTGGATATAACCATACCATATATTACCTATATTTTGTTTGTATGTAGTTGTTTGCATGTTGTCCACTCCATTGGAATATAAGCACCTAGAATGCAGGGACCAGATTTTTTGCCTTTCTGTCTATTTTGCCTTTCTTTATATGGCCAGTGCTTAGCTCAGTGACTCATATAGTGAATGCTAAATAAATGCTGGCTTAAATTTGTTTATTTCTCATACTAATTCTGTCTCTGATTCCATATCTAACCCTAATAAGCACAGCCATTTTTGTTCAATACTTTGTGAGTTTAAGGTCCAACATGTTTTGAGGTCAGTGTATATGGTAATAGGCAGGTTTTATTATGTGAATATTGCACTTATACTATAGATGCTGGGACAATAAAATTAATAGTAAATAAAATTATTTAGGAAATTTAATGAAATAGCATACCATCCAAAATTTCACAGCACATCTGATAAAAACTCAGCATGCTAGTGTGGCATACCCTTTGAGAACCACTGCTCATTGGAAAAATATTTATGAAAAATAATGATCAGTTTTTAAAGGTTCATTTTGTTCTACTAAATCAATTCCTGTAAAAAAAATCAACCCAAAAAACACATGGGATTTTATTTTCTCTAAACCTTTCGTTCAGTTCCATGAGTTAAAAGACAGTCTGCTATAAAATATCGTTTGTGAAATCCTGCCTCTTTCTTGTACTTTCATCAAGGAGACTATCAATATGGCTGTGTATCACACTCACTAAGATTATAAGGAGACAAGAATGTTGATATGTGGATTGGTATTCATTTTTATTGTAATTCTTAGGGAAAGGGTGAGGGGGAAGGTTATGTATGTATGGGGGAGTGAGGAATGTGCAGTGTGAAGATGAAGATGCATGGTTCCAGGAAATGCGGAGCCCAGTGACTTAGCTCCTCTAATGCACCGTCTCTTTAGGAAATGGTGATGGTCTTTTCCAATGTCAGTTCTACTTCTCATCTTTCATTGTCATTAGTTCATTTGATTAGGTCATATTGGAATTATTGTGATTGCTTATTGTGTCTTCTATATTCTATAACATCATATATTTTTATACTGCTGTATTGTTTAACTTTTCATGTGTTTATGTCTTATCTGCCTAACTAGATTGTAAGCTTATTCCTTCAGCAGCACTTAGAACAGTGAAAATACATTTATTCTGAATATCTGCTCAGTTGTTGTTGGCATCCAGAACCTACATATCTAAAACTGAATGCACAGCTTTTATCCAAAGCTTGGTGTTCTCACTTCACTCTTTCTTTTGAAGACCTCATCTGCCTAGTCACCAAGGCTCATCATTTTAGAGTCATCTTTGACCTCTCTCTCTTCCTCACTTCACAGTCCAATTGGTTGTGTCATCCTGTCTCTTCTTCCTTAGTAGTCTCTCTCACATTCATTTCTTCCACTCCTTACCCCCTCTCAACCTCCACTTGAGTTACCCTGTTCATATTCTTATCTCTTCTTGTCTAGACTATTGTAATAGCTTTCTGCCTTGTCTTCTTGCCTCTAATCTATCTTTCTTCACATCATATCTTTCACATAACTGCCAAAGTCATCTTAGTTGTACTACTCTGATCATATCATTCCTCCACTTAAAAACCTGAAGTCATTCCCATTGTGTGTGAAAGTATAAAGTATGAAAGTATAAATTCATGATGGCAGAATTCAGGGCCCCCATGTTTTCCCAAACTTCTTGTTATTTCCCTTTACATTCCATCCAATTGGACTATTCTCCCTATTCTTTTCCTTTCCTCTCCTATAAATCAATCCACAAGTATTTATTAAGTGACATCTGCCAGGTACTATACAAATGCTGGGAATACAAAAATAAAAATGCCAAGTCTGCCTTCCAGGAGCTCTCATCGACATCTTCCTCTTACCTAGAATGGATTCTCTTCCCTTCTCCATCCAATCTTTGTCTATTCAAATCCCTCTCTTCTCTCAAAGCCCAGCCCAGAGAGTTCCTTCATGAAACTATAGTGATCTTTCCCAGTTTAAAGGCATCATTTCTGTCTCAAATATCTCATATCATTTGCAAGACCCTTTCTCTGAACTTACCACATTCTACCTTGTATCATTGTTATTTCTGTACATGTATTTCCCCCAACTAGATTGTAAGCACCTTGAGAACAAGGTCTATATTTTATATGTGTGTGTGTGTGTGTGTGTGTGTGTGTACATATATACATATATATATATGTATGTATGTATATATATGTGTATATATATGTGTGTGTATATATATATATATATATATATATATATATATATACATATATATATATGTATATTTTCCTTCTGCATTCCTAGCACCAGCACAGTGCCTTGCACACAATATGGGCTTAATGAATGTTTGCTGAATGAATAAATGCATTATTAATTGAATGCCTTACATTCAAGGTGTCCCCAAAGTCTTAGTGCAGTACAGCTTAAACTGTACTGCACTAAGACTTTGAAGATGCTTGTATTTTAGACATTCAATAAATATTTGTAAAATTGAGTTTATTGGACCAGCTTTTTTGTATAAATCTTTAAATCTCCTACTTAACTTAAAAAACACCAATTCAGTACCGATAGTCTGGCACCCATCTTAGTCCATAAGCAGTTAATAACATGAGGAATTTGAGGGTTCCCTCTTTTTTTTACATTGTGGACTGATAAATGTTTCAAGAAATAAACAATTGAAAAAGATATTCACTAAAGGTGTCTATCAACAGAAATAAAGCTCAAGTAAAATGACATTGCTTTCATAGCAAAATGTGTCCTGGCAACTCTTACAAAGGGAAGACCCTACTTAGCAAATGGCTGCAGACATCATGGAAGGAAAGTTATACCCTAAGAATGCAGGAGGGCATGTCACAGGGAGCAGAAAGGATGAATGTGTTAAAGAATTTCATGCCTCTGTGAAAAAGGACCCCCCCACCCCCACCCCCATGAAAATACACACACCTGGTTTTACTGGGTTCAGTAGGAGGAGTTAACCACATATAAAGGAAGGACACATGAGTGTTTTGCTTAAAAGGTCAGGAGAAAAGTAGCACCATATATAAAATTTAATTTAAGATTTGTTCATAATCAGTGAAAGTGTAAATACCAGCGACTTCCTGGTCTTTGTGCAGTTTAAGAAGATGTTCACATCATACACCTAGACTATTAGTATTACTAGACAGGCCCTTAACTTGAAGGCTAGAGTTAAAGGATTCTGTTAAATAAAAATGAAATGTGCTAAAATAGTTATTACTGATAGTTCCTCCTTTGATTCCTAGGCTTTTAAAATGTTCATTCAAATAGAAATTTTTAGAATGGTCCTGTGTAACACTGGGCCTTTGAAATCCCCCTGAAAACTCAGTCTCTGGAGCTTCTTGCAGCTTTTTTCAGGGTTCAGTTAGTATGTTATTTGGGGGAAATCAGTTTTGCAAAGACCACATTATTATAACTCTTTGCAGATCACACAAGCCTAAATCCAATAGCAAAAGCGTATAAGACGAACAC